TGGTCTGAATGTCTGATGCGAAATGTTCTTTTTTTCACCAACCCACGATACAGCGTTATTCAAATACTGATCACGACATAAACACATGAAATGTAAGCTTTCAACAACAAATTACAACAGTCCATACAATGTCAAGACGTTTTTATTTGATTTTAAGCCATATGAAATTATTTTAAAGCTTTCATCATTTAGATTTGTTTACTTTATTATCTCCCTTCGTTATCTTGGTATTTGTGATATCCGCTTACAACGCGAACAAATAAAAATGTTGTAAAAGTTCAGAAACAATTATGGTCGAAAAATTGTCAAGATTAGGATGTGATGTGAATTTAGTTATTAAGCAATAAAATGTGAAAATTCAACAATCTAATGACAGATATAGAAAAGACAGACTAATATCCATAATTTGTCAATGATTTAAGCGTTTATTGGATCACGTGACAATCAAAATGGCAGACTGAAAATAGTGGTTTTTAATATTAATTACCTTAATTGCAAGAAATACCTCTCGTTTTATCATGACAGACAAGGAATTTTATCCCCTAACATCTGCCTGTGTTCGGGCCCTTAACGACAAATTGTATGATAAAAGAAAAGGTGCAGCCTTGGAGATAGAAAAGTAAGTGGTCTGAAATGTTACCCTTGATTTTTCCTTGTCTTTTGACAGCAGTTTTCATAGTTTCCTGTTATTCGCATCAACGTATAATCAGTTACAAAAACAGTTGAGTTATGAAAATGATATGAACCAGGGTGACAAGATCTCCTAATATTTATTTTTAGGTTAATGAAAGATGCTGTGAAGAACAATGATGCAGAAACAATTAAACGAGTACTCAAAGTAGTTGGGGAAGATTTTGCTCTCTCCCAGAATCCTAATATTAGAAAAGGTGGATTAATAGGTTTAGCTGCTACTGCTATTGGATTAGGAAAGGTAGGTTACAGATTCTTTGATAGACACTCAAATATTCATATAACAGATTTGTAAAACTATATGATATAGAAATGATTATTACTGTAAAAAAGTATTGAAATATCATCATGTATCGTGTGATATGGATAGTTGGAATTCATCCCATTTACTCATAATTCAAAGTTTTTGATCCATTATGCAAGTTGTTACTTCTTCTACATATTTGTTGGGCTGATGGCTTTGGACAAAATGTCATAAATGTATGGTTAAAATGGTGCAGTGCTCATAACTGTGATTCCAAGTTCATTATTATTATTATTATTTCAGGAAAGCACTAAATATATCAATGAATTAGCCAGACCTGTGATAGTATGTTTTCATGATAGTGACCATCGTGTCAGATATTATGCCTGTGAATCATTATATAATATTGTTAAAGTTGTCCGTGGAAGTATTTTACCATTCTTTAATGAAATATTTGATGCCCTCAGTAAGGTAATTACATAAATTTTACTCAATGAGTTACTTATATAACTTTACTTTGAACTAAATGCCCTCAGTAAGGAAATTCTTGTTTAAAATAAAGTAGAATCATTTGTTTATTATTTTTTTTGGTGCTTTCATTAAAAGGATATAGACTAGGCTATTATTGAATTACTCAATGTAGTAATGATGACAGTGATATTTTGTCCTAGCTTTATTTTCTTTTTTTTTAGTTATCATCAGATCCAGAACAGAATGTTAAAAATGGGGCAGAACTACTTGATAGACTTATCAAGGTATGTGTGAAAATATTACATTGTACTTCAAGAATCTATAGTATAAACATATACATGGAGGGCGGATTTGGTGCTTTGATGATGTGAAAGTTTCTCATATCACGACCTCATGTTACAATGGGCAAATCTTAACGCAGTTTAGAGATTAATTGTAAAGTATATGGACATCAGATTGTATTATGTATTATCTTTCCTCGGATTAGCTTTTCCCATTTACAGATGGGTTGACTGGAATTACGAGATGACTTATTCAATGTCATTGATCTTTTAATCGCCAACCAAACTTAGAACTATAACTAGGCAAATGATATCATGTGATTATTTGTAAATTTATATCTCAAATTGTTTATTTTTTAGGACATTGTTACAGAAAGTTCCAGTTTTGATTTAGCAGCTTTCATACCACTATTGCGAGAGAGAATTTATACTAAAAATACCTTTGCTAGACAATTTGTTGTTTCATGGGTAAGTAGTGTGTTGTGTAAATCAATGATTTTTAAAAACAACAAGTGAATTAGACAATTGCTGCATGAGATTTGATTTATCAAAGGTTGAAATAATACAATCGATTTTGATTTCAAACCTTATGGGGTGTCTAGAAGAGTAAGCATGAATTTTGACTAATCCTCTGATCTATTCTAATTATAGATTGGTGTGTTAGATGCTGTACCTGATATCAATATGTTAGTTCTACTACCAGAAATATTGGATGGGTTATTTCAAATATTGGGAGATTCAAGTATTGAAATAAGAAAATTGTAAGTATGTTATTATGTAAAAGGCATTCTAGTTATTATGTGAATTGTAAAGAGACAAGAGGCATGTATTCTCACTTTTATTTATATTTCTAAGAGGGGGGGGGGGGGGGGGATGACATTTCTGTTATCTGGTTGTATATTTATCAATGTACTTGACCAAAGGATTCTATGTTTGTTGACTGAATTGGTGATCAGGATTATTGGTTGTACATGACATCAGGAGACATCTTTGTACATCTTTGATTTTATGTTTCATCATTGTACACAACATTTGGACATCAGGATACATCATTGTACACAACATTTGGACATCAGGATACATCATTGTACACAACATCAGGACATCAAGATACATCAGTATACATCATTGTACATGACATTAGGATACATCATTGTACACAGCATCGTGATACATCATTGCACATTACATTAGGATATCATTTTACATTATATTAGAATACATCATTGTAGATTACAATAAGATACAACATTCTCCACATCATTTGGATACATAACATCAGGATACCTCATAGTACTTGACATTGAAATCTTCACAGATTAGGATCAGGATTACTATCAGATTTAAGATGATGAAATCAGGATTATACAGTTGAATTTGACATCAGGATTATATGCTTGTGGTATACACATAAATTAGTAGATATCTTGTGTCATAATACAAGCACAATCAAGAGAACTGTCATTATCAAATATCTACGGTTCATTAATGTTAATCTTACACTTCAGTTAATACCCTTTCATATAATGAAATAAAACTATTGTTAAACTACAATCAAGAACATAGCTTATCACCTCTTTGTCAATATCTCTAACAATACTTTAATTAGGTATAAGTGGTATTAGTAAAAAGAATGGAGATCTGACATTTTATTGGAGTCATTGAACATGTAATAATTACATGCCAAAACTGACATTAGAATTTTACATTTTGATGGGAAGGGTAGGGGAGAAAACCAAATCAGTGATTTGAAAATGTCTATGTTAAAATCTAATCTGGACCTTTATATCATCAATTCTAGATGTCAGAATATTTTAGCTGAATTTTTAGAAGGCATCAAGAAGTCTAAAAATGGGGTCAACTTTACTGGAATGGCTAACATTCTTATCGTTCATAGTCAGAATTCAAGTAAGTAAGATATTTCCGAATTCCTTTATTACAGAGCCTTTATGTTACAGAGCATTTGATTGGTTTAATCTATTTACAGAATGTGAAATCATCTTGCATAAGAATGTCTTGTGCTGTTTTGTCACATGAGTCAGTAATTGAATTAAATTTTACAGATAAGTTGTTATGTGAATTGGAACGCATGTTTCAAAATAGTTATGACTTTGACATTCTTAGAATGATAATATTATTAATTACAATTAATATTTACAAACTTCAATCAGAGAAATTTTTAGCGAAAATATTATAATTTTGTTAACGATTTTTTTGTGAAGATAAACTTCAAAATGATAACTTGTACATAATTTGGCTTTTTTATCAATCCAAAGACATTTTCATGTTATCTGATCACTTTTATGACGCTGATGTTCCATTTCACATAAACCACTCAGTATTAGAATTTGATTTATGGCACCAACAAAAGTAAACTGACTTGTATTGAAAATAGATTAACCCGAAAACAAGATAAGTTGAACCAAAGATAATCACATGACTAAGAGACAACTCAGACCAAATTTGAAAGACAACTTGAACTAGATGTTATAAGACTTAGGGCCGTGTATGCAGTGCTCTTACCTTGACTAAAGTTGAACTTCGGCTAAAGTCGAACTTTACAAAGTTAGGATTAAGGCTTTCATTTTCTACATTTGATAGTCAAATTTAAGCACGACTTTCGTAAAGATCGACCGGTGCATACCTAAAGTTCAACTTAAGTCTAACTTTAGTCAAAGTTTAGGTAAAGTGCGAGCACTGCATATGACCCTTAGACCAATGTTAAAGACAGCTTCAGAAAAGCAAAATAGAATGTCAAAATCTATTTTTTAATCAGATAATAGCTGCATGATTTAAGCATTATATAACTGATGTTGTTTTTGATTACAGTTGAAATAATCCAGTGTACAGCTATAAAATGGTTACGTGAGTTTGTAGTATTGTCAGGGAGAGCTATGTTACCTCATATGGCTGGTATGTTAGGTTCAGTATTACCTTGTCTTGCTTACTCTGATGAACATACCAAGAGGTAAGTCTGTTATATAGAGAGTAGCAATTGGTAATTTTCAAAAGATTTCGTCAAAAGTTGATCTGAACCTTTTTATAATGATAATGTTTTTGGGACTTCTGATGTGTTGTCAGATGCCCTGAACAACAAAATTATTCGAACTCTGGTTTGAAAGAAAGAAAGAAACAACTTAGCTTCACAGTTAAGGATCCTTTCTACCAGCCTGTCCTTGGCCCAAACCTCTTGGCATTGATCTTTCCCGGGTTATTCGTACCCATTTACAGCTGGGTCGACTGGAATTGTTAGTGAAGGCGACTTATTCAAGGTCACCCGACTATCACACGTTGATAGAGAATTGAACCACAGCAACCATTTGTTTGATGTAACCAAGCAAATGTTCATGTTCATGTTCAGTCTTACCGACTGAAAGTGAAAGTGTGAAGTAATTTTGCATCAAATGTGGCATTTTATCTCATCTCATCTCATCTCTCTATCTCTCTCATACACTAGAATCTAGAGGTTTTATACAGATTTTGTCACCTGTGATATTAAATTGTGATCTCACATTTTGAAAATTCAATTGCCTCTCATAGTACTTTGTATGGAGGTAAATTACGTGAACAGTTTACTATCATTTAGAATTTTAGCATTAACATGATTCACCTGGTTTGTGGCCAAAAGTTAAAGATTAAGTGAGAAAGTTCTAGATTACTAGAATGCCAAAGTTGGTGTATATAGACATGTTCCACTATCTTTTTTCATATTTTCAATTACAGTATTCGAGAAGCAGCAGAACAGTTAAATACCAGTCTAAGAAAACTGATAGAAAAAGAGGATGATTTACCAACACCTACACAAGAATCTCAAATTAAAAATACTGAAAAGTAAGTTGATATGATCTATGGACTATTTGAGTTAACCTCTGTTAGTGACGCAGGTTGGAAATCTCATATGAAAGGAGCACCTTCACTATCCGTTCAACCAATCATACCTTAGTTTCAGAAACAGGAATTTTTTAGCTTACATAATCAGTAATAGTGTTCACAGCTCATTTTCGAAATATGAGCCTTCATATCCATGTGTATCCATAATTATTCATATTTCAAAGTTTAAAATTCGACTTTGAGATTTTCATGCGTTTTAGTACTTCCTCTCAAATGTAGATAATCGATTTTTGTACACTTTTTCAATGTAGTGATATAAATCTAACAAGTATTTCATCATAAACATCATCAACTTGGTTTTCCTTCGTTTCAAAAACGGAAATTGTTCAGATCAGCTTATCAGTTTTTAGCACTCACAGCTTACTGTCAAAATTCTTTGCATTGTGTTTGAAAATTACATAAGTCATCTACAATCTGAACTGATTATTCAAGTCGACTGGGTAGATGTAAGTGATTATCCTTGGCAAAAATGGTTATTACTTTTCTGTCATTCTTGCTTTAACAACCCCTCCAACTAATAAATAATGTTGTTATTTTGACAGTCCTGTACAGTTAGAAGTCTCATCTGTGATAAAAGTATTAAAGTCAATGTTAAGCCATGATGCTGTACAGACTAGAGTAGCATCTTTAAAATGGTTTAATCTACTCTTATCTAAAACTCCTAACAAGGTAGGCTATATTTTAATTCAATATTGTTGGTTTCTTTCATTTGCTGCTCACAAGTTTTGAAAATTAGACTTATTTTGTACATCTGGCAGTTGTTGCCATCATTCCTTTATAACACATTTCCCCACTTCACTTGGTTCACATCTCTTTCATGTAAATTATATAAGGTATGATATTAAAGGGACAGATGCGCCATTTTTTTTACCAATCGTACACTTGTCTCAGAATTTTTAGCTAAACCAATCAGTAATAGTGTTCACAGCTCACTGTCAAATTTGAGCCTTCAAATCCATGTATGTCCAGAATTATCAATGTTAAAATGATGACTCATCAATTTAAGATACTCTGTGATATATAGAAAAGACATATATAGAAATAGTGAGTAAAATTCCTAGTTTGAAGTAATTATAAGGAATTTTGCATTTTGCATACATTTCTAGTACTTCTGAAGACTATTTACATATATATTCAAGATTCAAATAACCCCCCCAATATGGTGCATCTGTCCCTGTGTGATCTTGAATATAGTGATAGTACAATAGCTTTTGTAGTTTTCAACCAATTTTCATAAAACATGGTATGTAAATATATGACCAAATATCAAGATCAATTGAAAAGGTTTCTAGTTTCAATAAGTACATGATGAATGAGGCATATTGGAATGTGAACACTATCTTTGATAAGTTAACTAGTATAGCTACTTCTAATAACCATAATGAAACACCAAGAATGACTTTCATTTTAAAGTGATACTACATTTTAAAATGAACATCAAATATAAGATCTCAAGAATGGTCAATATGAGTATATATTCATCAGTGTCATAAAGTTACAACAGAGTCTCTGTAAAATCTAGAAAATTTAAAACTTCATAAAACTAAGTAGTTATTGAAAAACACTTAATCTTAATATTAAGCGTTTTTCAATATTTAATTGCATTTTTATGGCGTTTTTTTTTTATTTATCACCTTATTTAAGGATCCTGTTATGTTATTTATGACACCAGGTATATCTACTGATGAATATATGCTCTTATTGGCCAAGTTTAAAATTCTTAAATTTGATGTCCATTCTAAAAAATTAATAGATTTGTTTACTAAAGGAAGACATGATTTTTTTTAATTTTTGTTATTTTTATGTCTGTTGGAAACTCTGTTTTAAGTTATATGTTTTCGATCATCTTCTATTTTTTTTGATTTCAGACATTTCGACATATTGATGATTTCTTTACACTATTATTAGATACTCTAGCTGATCCTTCAGATGATGTAAGTAATTATTACTTTGATAATGATTCTTGAGCAAATTTTGGCTGTACAAAACAAAAAGCTCTCATACAAATATTGACCCTGAATTTTAATATCATGTGGATTGTGAAAGCTTGATTACCTTAAATAAGAACCTGGTTATCCCTTACACAATTTTTTTTTTGTTTTTTTTTTCCTCCTGCTTTTACAGTTTTTACTAGAGAAAATTGTAAAACAAGAAAATAAATTGGTTTGGCCTTACTGTAAAATTTAACAGAATTTTTCTTGTTTCTACATAGGTTGTGTTATTAGATTTAGAAGTATTAGCTGAAGTTTCCTCCAATTCGGTAGGAAATGCTGACCTCAGTTCAAAAGATGAACATAAATTATTAAAAATGAAACCAGGTTTAAACCAGTATTTTACAGTATTTATCATTAAATTAATGGATTTCTTTAAAAATAATAAACAGATTTTAGATGATAGAGGTACTTTTATTATCAGGTAGGTTTCATGTACTGTATATTTGTGTGTAGAGTTCGCAGTTTTTACCATCAAAAAGGCTTGGCAAACTGAATGTGTGCATATTTTTTCTGAATTTTTCACCAGAGTATCTTAGGTCTTTACCAACTAGTATAAGGTATATTTTTTCAAGAAATAATTGTTATTCGATAAGCCTGACTTGAGGCACAGGCACACGACGAGACAAAAATCTCCAGTCAGTCGCTTTCCACCTTATCGATAATCACATGCAAAGGAAAATGAATCTGATTGGACGATGACAGTCTGTCATGTTGACGATAAAACTATCAGAGACAATTATCAAACTTGTTTGATATTATAAATCCTGGTGGGGACGCGATAATTTTGTCGTTGAAGCACGGGCACATGCAAGATTTTACTCAAGACTCTAATCGGCGACAAAAATCTCTGACTAATATAGCTTGTGTGCCCGCACCTTTAAGCATTTCTATCTGAAAATAAAAATGATGTAAATAGAAGCCATAAATGGCCCTGATACACATAAAAAAAAACCAGAAAACCTTTTCATAACCTCTTTAAGTGGGCTTTAAGTTGAAGTTTTATATTTATATTCAAATGCTAAAACTATTTTTTTTCAGACAATTATCTGTATATTTAAGTGCTGAAGCTATATTTAGAGCTATGGCTGAATATTTAGAAACTGACAGTGATGTGAATTTTTGTTGTACAATGGTTCAGACATTAAATACAATTTTACTCACTTCAACAGAATTATATGATCTCCGTAGTTTACTGAAGGACCTAAAAAATAAGGTATGTTATATCTCCATGATAGTCTGATAATAATTAAGGAATGAATGTGGATCTTGTTATCGTTATG